CATTCACTCCCCCCACCTACAATCCCTGCCGGTACGAGACTCGAACCCGCAACCTTTGGGTTACGAGTCTGACTCGCTAACCATTAGGCCACGACTTCCCTCCCTTAAGTTGATCGTAGCTCCACTGGTTTCAATGGGTGTACGATGTACTTAAGCTTACGATGCTTTTGGGAAACACAGCCCAGAACAACCTGGAGCAATTCTGCTTAGAATAATGGTCCAAAATCACACCTAAAAAGTGTAGAAAGCTGATGCATATTATATTATATTATATTATATTATATTATATTATATTGATCAAATAAATGCAGTCTTGGTGAGCAATATGTTTGTAATTATCAAATTAACTGGACATCATTATTTTGGACGATATCTGGTAATTATATATATATATATATATATATAATTACCAGATATCGTCCAAAATAATGATGTCCAGTTAATTTGATAATTACAAACATATTGCTCACCAAGACTGCATTTATTTGATCAAAATACTGTACAATCAGATTACAATTTAAAATAACTGCTATCTATTGTATATTTATAAAGCTGAATTTTCAGCAGCCATTAGTCCAATCTTAAGGACCAATCTTTCAGGATTCTTGGGTGAGGGGTCTGTGACGACTTGTTAATCTAATGAATAACTGATTTGTTAAATCAAATAAAAAATTGTGTTTTTGATTGGTCCAGACGTTACATTTGAATAGAAAGTTTGAAAGAACATGATACTAGCATCATACTAGTCCTTCAAGCAACTTTCGTCCCTATCTGCTGTAACTGAACTGTAAGGTCACAATGGACATGTATAGTGCACAACGTGCATCATCTGAAAACACACCCCATAATCACGAATCACACCTCATACGCGAGGGACTGTGGTGGCGAGTCCACAGTCTCCTCTGTATCGACACTCATCACATCCATCTCCTCGGAGGAAGATAGTTGAAGCGTCTGGCTCTCTCTCTCTGGGGGGGGTGGGAAGAAACCGCAGCGCGGGCTTCCGAACCCTGAGAGAGAGACGCGGATCTAGCGGGTGAGGACTGAGAAAAGGACGAGCCCATCTCGGATCCCTCCACTAAATCCACCTGCGATCCCCACGACAACAGTCTACGCCGCGCCTCGGCAACAGCGGGGCCGCTGCCAGCGGGATCGCGAGCCTGGCCGCTCTCATCAAACACAGCCAGGCGAGAGCGGAGCATACGCAGCGAGA